TAATAGTGCTTTTCAGAAGCATCACTGTCAAGTCAAAACTGAATTCCAGTTCAAATAGTAGATTAAACTGTACATCTGCTCAGTTGTAATGATTCTTTCATTGTACACAAAACCATTACTGTAAAATGCTTTGCATGAATGTATTATTAGCTACTCCAATAGGTATCACTATGAAATGGTAATGCAGCTTTAAACTTTCAGTTCTTACATTGCAGGGAGACTTCTACAACCTGCCTGCAGATACAGTCAGAACATACTTTATGGAAGATTTTTCAAAAGCTTTCAATGCTACTTTAACTCTGCTTTCAGAGGTCATTTTTAATCACTGTTTTTGTCACAGGAAAAAGCAGTATCTTTCACTAAATTAGAATGTCCTCAGACTTTAGGACACAGAATCTAAGTTTTTCGTTTAATGCACACACACATTGTTTTTATGTGTGTGAAGACTTTTTATTGAAGTCTTCATAATGAAGACTTACATAAGTTTTACTCTCACTTTTAAACTGTTACTTTAGGTCTGAGCTGTAACATTCCAAAAATAATCAGTTTCCCTTTTCAGCACTGGAAAGCTCTGCGCAGGATACAGAGGGAAAGTGGGAACCAGAAGGTGATTTTACACATTTGGAGATTCAACAGACCTCTGAGAGCAAGTTCCAAGTGCCTTTATTTGGCTAGTTGAAACCGGGGAAAGATTAACTAGCTAATTCTGTATATTTAAGGCTAGGAAAACTCTTGAAAAATTCCTTTCACTGGTCAGAACTCAACTGTACTGAAAGACTAAGTGTTACCAAGACAGAGGAACTGGCTCTCCAGATCAACTTTCCCTTTACATGAGCTTACCTTCCTACTCTCACCTCCTCTGCTCCCTTTCCTCCCAGGAGGAAAATAAGATAATAGGACATGATTAGATCTATTAACTGTTTCTCTCTGCTGTTCTTATTTCAATTTTCTTTGATGTTGGAGGAGAAATCCCCTGCTTTCCAGAACGTCCAGAGACATGTTAAAAATTCAGGGTCACACATACAGTTCTCTGCTGCATCCAGCTGCACCTCATCTCTTAGCTCACTTAGATCTATCAAGATGAATCACATAACTAAGTGAATCCTATACAGGTGCCTCATGGTGCACTCTCAAAGTTGAGAGTCTACTTGTTCCTACAGAGGAACTTGCTGCTTGGACTTTCAGCTTCAAAGGATGGAGCTGCTACTACATTTTTAACTTGTTATTTTTCCAGAGACTAGGAAAGATATTAAGATGTTAAGAGTCTCCTTTGCACCAGGATAGTTCCTTTCTAAATGCATTTGTATTAAATTACTTAGTTATAGGGAACCTTTCTGGGGAACAAGTCACTATAGTCTCAAGTGTGGAAGCAACCCTAGGTGCCCAAGTTACGTCCAGCAGTAAAGATAACAGAGCCTTCTAAATAGCATTAAATATTTAGGGACATGAGCCACTAAGGAAACACACCAATTCTCAAGACACTAATATTATGGAGATAAATGCAGTCTTACATATATATATTCGTAATACCTTATGCAAACCAATCTCAAAACAGATTAAATTGAAAATTAAACAACTCATTGTTTCATATGCATATGCAAAAAATACTTGCTTTTGACTGTGAACTTTTCCCTTTTTTTTTTTTTTTAATGGAAAATTATTTCGAAGGTGTAGAATCTGAAAAATGTTTATCTAAAAGACTGTGGCTTTTATCTAAAAGACAGTGGGTATTTTAGAAAGGTTAAGCAATCAACAGCTTGGAAATTATATTTAAAATTATTAATTCTGACAAAAGATGCTCATTGCTGTACTTGAGTATTAATAAAGTAATTCATTTTACTCTCTTTCCCCAAACCACAGAATAATGATGATGAGCAGAGGCTACTGTGAGAACCTAGGAATGCTGCCAGTTCCTATTTCATTTGGACATATCAAAAAGTGAAGCACAGCCTAAGCTCCAAAGCCAACAAAGACGCATTGCCATCTTGCACTACTGCAGACAGGAGATAACCACGAGGCCATAAAAATTCCATCCCTCTAACACAGCTACTTACAAATAGAACCACATCACAAACTTTTCCACAGGTATCTATTGCCATCTGAGAATGTCACATGGCCAGGTAAGTCCAGTGCAGACACAACTCATAGGTCTCACATAGGAATGTACATACTCTCAAGCATCTCCAATTTGGTATATTCCCAGTCTGAGGTTAACACAAGAAAGAGGTGACTGCATGATGGTCTTTTACTCAGATTGATTTCCTCTATCAGCAGGTCTTGCTTTCCAGTTTTCAAAACACCTTTTTCTGCTCCAGCATTGTCACATACTAAACCCATGCAGTTTCAACATATTATTATTATCTGCTGATACACTCAGATCAAAGATCAATATCCCATATAGAACAACTACTATAAAACCCCATTGTCAACAATAAGGGAATTGAAGACCACACAGTGGAAGCAACACTGACACATTGTGTCTAAACTGCATACTAATTTAAGGTCTTTCTAAGCACAAAGCTTATGACAGGAAATCTAAGCTATCACAGTCTTTTGTTTCCTAAGGTAACAGTTCAGTAATAGCATATAATGCTTCAAGAACACTTATACTGGCAAGAAGAAAACATTTTCTGAGACATTTCAATGAAATATTTCCATCATAAAATGCTTATAGATACACTTTCCTCCTACCCTTCTATTTGAGCTCACAAAGACAGTTAAGGAGGAACACATTTATGTAACCAAAATTGTTCTAATTGAGCCTTTTTTCTTCACATACAAAGAATTAAAAACAACAGTGTTAGGCGGTCCCAGATTTAATGGGTTCCTTGGGACCATATCATTAAGTAAAATGAAAAATCCAAATACAAAAGTTTATTTTTTTTCTATGTAATTGACACCCCTTTTGGGAAGTGAACAAAGACACACTGTCAAAAGTAGAAAACTGCACAAAATGTTACCGTTTGTTCCCCATGAATGCAGAGGTATACTTACTCAATGAAAGAAATTCCACTTCTCTCCTGAGAATTCCTCCCTTTAGTTAAATTTTGTGCCAAGTTCAGTCAGCTAAAGTTTGGGTTGTGTTAGCATGCCAGATACAAGTTCCTGTAAGGCAGCTCTGTTACTCAGTCAAAAATTAAGTGCCAGGTATATAGTAACTTCAACGTTACAAGAATTAAAAAGTGATCATTAACAGACCATTACTGGCCCTTAATTTAAACAGTTCAAGCACTGTTTTTAATTGAAAATACTTGGTACATATTTTTGTCTATTATGCAGCCTAATCATGTGCAATTTCTCCTCCAGTTATGTTTCTGGACATGTTAAGGGATCACAGATTTCTAAATTGCTCTGAAGTGACTTAAGTTCCTTCAGAAGCTTCAGGTTTTGGTGAAGTAATTCTCAGATGACAAATTCATCAATGTAAGACAAGTATTCTCTAAATTGCGGTCAAAACAACTTAGCAAGGGCAAGGTGACTGATCTACAGGACTAGGGAAGCAGCTTTATATGGGACAGTAAGACGGGAATAGGGATGATCTTAAACCCAGAGGAATATAATTCCAATAAAAAATGAGAGGGGAAGAAGAACAGAAACTATCTCTTTTGAAATAAAGTACTCCTGGTATTGAAATTCCCATTGTTCCAAGTGGATACCTATATTACAGTAGCAGATATCGATACTCTCAAATATCAGAATAAAACATTATTGCAAACACTACAACTGAACCAGACTTGGGTTCACAATTTATGAAGAAATGTTAAATAAAATGTCTGATTTTTTTACAAAAGTTTCTGTATTTTTTAACAAGAAGATATGCTACATGAAATGTATAAATACATTTCAGTTTTCCTCTTTTTATCCAAAAATACACTGAAAAGCTTCTTACTAAAACTTAAACGAATTGGAAAGCCTCCAAACAGCTGTTATGTAAAAGTGCTGATCTGTTTTGTTTGGGTTTTTTTTTCTATGAAAATATAATGTATAACTAGTGCTTTACATTAAATATTCGACTAATTTTAAATATTAAATAGGGTTTTCAATATATTTTCTGTAACAATCTGATATTAGGGTTATAGCAAAGCCTGCAAAATGAACTATGAGAAACCAGGGCATGCAGTATGTTAGTACACAGTAATTGTGGTAAACCAAAGCACAGCAGCATGTGATCAGATGGACTAGGTATATATAGGCTGCCCTCTAATGCTAGCCAACTGCTTAGAAAAGCTACAGCATAGAGAAAAAAATCTTTTGCTCTTCCAAGATTTTCTTAATTTTTATTGCAGTAAATAATAAAAATAGAAGGTAGAGGAGAAAACTTTCTTTTGTTTGGGTCAAACCAGTTAATATTTCATAATCAAAGGAAAAAAAAATTGTTTCAAGATGTACAATCAAACCCAAAGAAGTGGTAAGCCATAAATATCTTTAATAGAGCTGTTACAGAACTATATGATCAATTAAAGACTACTGACAAGTATGGTTACTGTCCTATGAAATAGGCAATCACCAAGAAAAAGAAACCATTGTATCAGATAACATCAACCTATTTTATCTACACAAGATGAAACCAGCAAGCAACGAGACATGAATGAATTGCTGGTAAAGTTTATTTTTAAACTCTGACTTGACACAGAATATACTTTGCAATACAAATTCTTAAGTTAATTAATTAAATACAGAACATTCAAACAGGTAAATAATTTCAAGACAGAACAGTCACCACTTATGTTTTAAAACATTTAATGCCTTCATTACAGCAAACCAAAAACAAAGTACTACATAAACGATTAAACCCCCACTTATACCAAAGTACTGTTTTGAAGTTTGTAAAAAGAAGCACAGTAATGCCTTTAGAGATTAGTCTTTGTACTTGATACAGAGCATGCAGCAGAATTACTAGCAAACAAAAGCTGGTTTTCTCTAAACACTAATTAGAAACTCAAGAATGCAAGTCATGAGGGCAGGAAGAAAGACAAATCCTTAAGAAAAGTATGGCTTACCAGACAGACGAGTTTAGCTGTGTCTCAAATGCAGCAGAAGTAAGAAATTTCTGTATATGTAGACCTTGTTGATTTAGCCCTTTATGAAAGTTTCTCTCGAGAAATTAATTTAATTCACATGCAAGAGCCTGCAAAAGAAGAGAAAGAGTCTGAGCTGCTGACTGAAGTTTTTGTTCTAAGAACATTTGAGCTATTTTCAGCAGCAATGGGCTTGCCTACTATCGAAATGAAAATGCAATACAGAATAAGCAGCCTCCCAACTCAGGCCAAAAAAAATCAGGAAATCCATAGCAAAAAAACTTTGTTCATTGTCCAAATTTTCATTTAAAGAAACAGAAAGCACAGGAAACAATGACTATAGATGAACAAAAAAACACGAAACCTGTTAAAAGGAAATCAGGGACTTTGAAGATTATTACCTTTAGTTCAGAAACTGAACCACCATGGATATTTTTCAATGTGAAAACCACCTTTTGGGTCTGGTTATACCTGAACATGTTTTGCCTTCTTTACACAAGGGTTCATCTGAGATAGAAGTTCTTCTATTCGCATTTAAGTCCATCATTCACGGACAGGACAAATCAGTTTGCCAAAACTGAAGCCAGTAGTTCGTTTCTAGTTTGCATTTTAAGTTTTCAGTTTCAGCAGTGGTGCTATAATGGAAGCTTAGTGACCTGAAGTCGCTGTCACTCCATTTTTTTCTGCCAGGGCTATTCAGTTACATGATAAATATCTCCCTGCCCTCCTCTGTCACATCACTAACCAATCAGTTTACCCTCCCAAAATGTAAAAATACTAGAAAAGGGAAAGCATCAATATAAATTAACGACTCTAGGAAACGACCCCAAACATCCTGATGGTACATAAAAGCTAATTACTTTGCAGTTTAAGACAACACAGATAAAATAAGTCAATGGAAAATCACCACTGCTATTTAATTTTTTGCAGCTCCTTCTGGTGGAGGAAGAAGTTTCCAAGAAATCCCTGTATATAACTTTCCTCTAGATATCTCAGCAATTCTGACAAGCACAACTTCCATTTGTTTCATCAAAAATGTCTCACACCTCATCACAGTGTTAGGCATTGCCACTGCAAATCTCATTAGTTTTGTTCAAGGAAAAATTACGAGACTTACTCTCTGCTCAAAACCTAAAACAGGCTGGTGTGGCAATATTACCAAATATTTCAATATCTGTTAAATTTCCAATCAATTCTACATAAGCACACTCATTTGAGAACATTTTAAAACCCTACTGGTCACCTCAATTCCTGTTCTATTTGTGAACAGTAGATATTTAGAAGTTACAGTGACAATGAAAACAGGATGCCGGACTCACAGGCTATTTAGTAAACTATTAAAAGAGTAAAGCAAAGCTCATTGTTACAAACAAACACAAAAAGCACACTTTTTTTCCTGAAGACTCCCATAAAAATCGTTATCTATAAAACATTTATAACAATAATGAAAAAGCTGCTGAGTGTGAAAATATAGCACAAATTCTTTCTGTGTTAGCTCAAAAGCGTCCTTTCCATTTGATCCCAGCTATTTTTAGTGTTATTGCAGTTAAGGGCAGCAACAACAAACCCCACAAACTCTAAATAACAACGTGTTAAATTAATCATTACTGCTGCTTCATTCCAACTGTCTAGTTTAAGACCACCATTTTACTGCAAAACTACTTCAGAGTAGTTAAAAAGCTCAGTTTATAATTAATTCTAGGTTCATGAACAAAGACATTTAAGGACTCCAATAGCTTAAATTTCAGATAACGTGAGTTCTAGCCAGCTTGAGAGCTATAATGGACAGGTGAAACATTCAGTACAGTTTGCAAATAAATAAAGAACCTGTATCTATCAGACCACCAGTGTCAGATGCTACATTACCTTGCTATCCATAATGCTTTCATCTGGTGGTTACAAGCTACATCAACAAATATCCACATGCCAAATGCTAATATGACACAATTACAAAACTAAAATAATGTGTTAAAATAATTATTAGCAGTATCAATTTACCACTGAAATAGTGTAACACAATGCTTTGCAGCGCAGCATTTCTTTTCTGAGGCTTTTTCTCAGAAGGCAGATTTACTACTACCTGACTCAACTTCAGCGCTTAACCCATGTCGGTACCTTGTTTCTTCATGCACTCCCTGCAACTGTATTTGTGTAAAGGACTGTTTACCAATTAGTATTTATAGCATTTATATAAGCACTATTTCGGTATATAGTAGGATGTGCTTTAACTGTTGGATCAGATCATCTTTATCTACAGGAAACATTAGACGCCAGAGATATCATATATACCATCTAGGTCTCAAAGAGAAATATATCTGTATGCTAATTAGTAAAACAGACAAATATGTCACCACCACCAAGATTGTCACCTCATGCTTTTCAGAGACTGACAAAAATCTCTTTCATTTTATAGATATCAGCAACATTAAAATCAAGAATATAATTTCTTTAGTGGCCCACTGCAGTGTGATTTAATCAATTGCTGCTATTAAACAATTCAAACGTGACATAAAGGTCTAGAGTTCACACTGCTAATGTAGGTACTTGGTGCAGGTCTCCAGGAGCTCCATGACCAGACACTACAGCACAAAGATTCTCATAAATTAGAAGAAAAAATCTTCATAGATAAGAGATACTAAAAATTGTTTAAAATAGTGATAGACAAGAGAGTTGCATACCTGCTTCACTGCACAGATTCATTCATATAAAGGAAATCTCACCTTTTCTACACCTAACCTTTCAAACACAGTTGAGTCACTGAAGCTTCAGATGGAATGGCTGAATGACTTCTCTTTTTGAGAAGTCTCTTGTACATTTCAAGATATGTAGATAAATACTGCACAGCCTGGTGTAATGACTGCTTTTTCCTTGCATTACTCTATCACATATTTTAATAGTAGTGAAATACCTTCTAGTAATACAATAATACGTCTAAATGAATTGCATATTACCTACCTCAGAAAGAAATGAGTATGGATAAGATTTCTTTCATTTTTTTTCTAAATAGCTATATTTCTTGAATTTAAAATGGAACTAGGACAGATAACATTAAATGAATTTAATGTTAGAGAATGGAAGTACAATGTACGCATTCTGCATTTGCAGAAGTCTCTCTTGAGACCACTTCAATCTCTGAAATGACCATTTTGCAGATTACAGAAAAAAACTATATACAGAAGGAAAGCTATCAATCACATGTTTTGTCCTAGACTTCAGCTAGTCTTGCAAATGTCTTAGACATATATGAACTTGAAGAATCTTACTAATAAGACATTTTTTCAATGTCTCATGTGTGCTTTTTGTAGCTTCCACTGTTGAAAAGCAATGTAGCTCTGAAGAAGTGTGGCCATTCTCCTGGACACGATGGGACATCTTGTTACACATATGTCATACACAGCATTACTTGTTCCTATATAATATAACATAAAAAACCCCACACAGGAATGCATGTGCTCATTGAACCTGGTGCCAGGAACGCCTATATTCAAACAAATGCATCATATGCCTATAAAGTCAAAGGATGAAAATAGGTGGGAAAAGATTAACCTCCAGCAACATCAATTTAATTTCTAGAGTTGGCATAGATGTTAGCATTTAAGGTTTGGCATCATCAAATGACTTGTAATCAGCTTTCGCCTATGCTCAGTATGAATATGCTCAGGAATTAAAGGGTGACAATGGTCACAAGTTGGCCAGAACATGTACCTGAACAGTTTGTTTATTGAGATTTGGATTAAGGTTCATTAGTCAGCATCTCCTTCAGAACATTTCTGGTCTCTTTCACTCATATCTGACACAATATATTTACAATTATTATAAGACTACTAAGAGGTTATTTATTGATGGTCAGTTTATACTTTTTCTCCTACTTAATATATTAGGAACAGCCATTATGTGTTAGAACAAGAAAACTGGTATAAATTTGCCACCAATAAGAGCATTTTTATTTATAAACTTTTTTAAAAAATAATAATTAAAAAAAGCCAGCTTCTTTCTCCTATTCCCAAATTTCCAGTGCCTTGTAACCATACTGGCTTCTTAAATTCTCACTAGGGCAAATCTATGCATTGATCAAAAGTCATGATAACCTTCCATTAACTACAATAATCAAGACTTGACTGAGGACTAAGAGATAGGAAACTTTTAGGGGGAAGCAGACAGCTGTCTTCTACATCAACAGTTCTTGCTCCTTCCCCTATAATTAAATGCAGTTGGCATCTTACCCAGGTTACTGCTAAATACATCTTGATGCCCAATGTTGTCATGCATACCTCAGCTTCATGTTGTGGCAGTAGCTTAAGAACTGTCATATTAGAACAACAGCACATGTAACAATGACCACAAATACACATGCAATTTTCTTTAGTTAGATATGTATAGAAAGGTAGTTTGAAAATTTTCTAGACCATCATATGAAATAGAAATCCTAAAAACCCCTCAATATTAAAACCTCCATATAAACAAGTTCTGCATTTCATTCTCTACTACATATTCATTAGTTACACATCAAAAAAGGTGGATCATCTATTGAAAAATAAGCTGACTTAAGGTTTCAGAACATAGGATTCAACATCTGAAGAAACAATACACAGATAACCAAGTTACTGTGATAGTGACATCTGATACTTTCCTAACTCTAAAGAAAATAACGTCAACTCAATGGTGATTATGTTAAAAGAGTTCAAAGATTCTCCTGAAGTGGCTACAAACTCTTGCTCTTACAACCTATCTGTCCCAGCATCCCTGGCAATAGAGTCAACAGAGTCAAGACATTTCAAGAAGTTGGAAATTGTCTACAAGCCTTAGGGACAATAAATTACAACCCACATGAATAGTACAAAAGTGACACCCACAACATTTATCCCTGCTTTTTGGCTTCATAATTCCCACACTGAAACTATGGTTAGAGAATTCTCATCTTTAACAAAACTTTCAAAGGAAAGTGAAGTTTACAGAAGTTCATACACTGGAATTCTTTTCTTTTTATCTTTTATTGCTCTGTTAGCACATTGGTTTTACATCTAAGAAATTGTGTTCTCCGGTATCTTAGTATATCACAAAATAACTCTCCACATTAGAAAACATTGGAGTGCTCCATCCTGACTAAAGA